TTACACCAGAGGCACACCAACTGCACACATACTGGACCCAGAGAAGTTCCCCCCCTCTTCTTTCAGAAGAGGGCATTGAATCCTCTAGAACTGGAGTTGTGTATGATTGATGAACCACCACATGGGTACTGGTACCGACCCCAGGTCCTGTGTACAAGCAGCAAATATTCTAAACCACTGAGCAATTTCTCCAGCCCCTCTTCTTCACCTTCAGTAAACATTCTCTTTAGCTTAGGCTGGCCTCAAACTCATATAACTAAGGATGACCTTGATACTTTTGACCTTCCTGCTTCTGCCTCCTAAATGTTGGGATTACAGACAAGTGCCACCATGCCTAGTGTTGTGGTGTTGACCATCAATCTTAGGGTGATAATCACACTAGGCAAGCATCCTGCCAACTGAGCTGTATCCATAGCTCACGTAGGTTTCTTTCTTAGGCACAGTGCTTATATATAGTTGCTACAGCATATCTGGGCAACCTTGGCAAAATATCTTAAAAGGCTCTGAACCTCAAAATTTTTTACTGTTAATTTTCTGTACTTATATCAATGTCATAAGAATTATGATGCATTATGAATGTATGTATGTACGTATGTATTTTTGAGACCAAGTCTCACTCTATAGGCCAAATTAATCCAAAACCTGCTATGTAGTTCCAGTTGTCATTCAACCTACAACCTTCTTGCTTTAGCATCTCCTTCACCAGTACTGGTATTTCACACATATGCTAAGCCTTTATGGGTTTAATCATAATATATAAAATCATATATAAAATATATACATATTAACTACCTAATATATTATAAAATATTTAGTCCAGTACTTAGTATATAGTAAATATAAATGTATTAGAAAGTAAGAAAGTCCGGGTGGCACTTGCCTTTAATCCTAGCACTCAGGAGGCAAAGGTAGGCAGATCTCTGTGAGTTCAAGGCCAGCCTGGTCTACAGCGCTAGTTCCAGGGCAGCTAGGGTTGTTACACAGAGAAACCCTGTCTTGAACACCCCCCCCCAAAAAAAAAGAAAAGAAAAAGGTAAGAAAGAGCTGGGTCTAGTGGTACAAGCCTGTAATCACAGCTCCATCAGAGGCTGTGTCAAGAGAATTACAAATTCAGGGGCTACTTGAGCTACTTGAGTTCAAGGTGAACCAAGGTAACCTGCTAAGACCCTGTGTCAAAATGAAAAAAACTAAGGCTGAAAACTCAGGTGTGGCAGGGTATACCTGCAATCCCAGCACCTGGGAGGCTCAAGTGGGAGGATTTCAGTGAATCTGAGGCTAGCCTAGGCAATAAGGTCAGTTTGGGCCAGCATGGCAAATAGATTAAGACCCTTTAAAGGGAGTGTGTGTAAGCTACAGGTGCAACACACACACACACACACACACACACACACACGACTGTGTCTATAACTCAGTGGTAGAGCACTTATACTATGTGTGGGGCCTTTAGTTTAAAAAAAAGAACGAATGAACTAGAAAAATATGAACATGTGATCATCATATAGGCATTTGTGTATGTACATATACCTGCACAGACATATGCATGTCCTTAAATATGAATGCCTGCTAATTACTCATCTGACAAGTCCTGCCTTGATAAGAGCATTGTTTACCATTCATGGACAAAGTTAAGTATTTCCTGAGAGGGCCCTGATGCTCACACTGCCAGGTTTCAAGTTAGGGAACCGTTTCTATCCAGAAACCTTGTCGTCAAGGCCTAAAGGGCTGCCTTGCTTTAATGTTTAATCTTTGACATTAATTACTAGCTAGACAATTCAAAGGGTCTCTGAGGACACTGACGATGATGATGGTGCTTCCCTAATTTCGAGTTAGTGATCTGCTTAGCAGGGAAGTCTGCTGGGAAACGAGTTTGATCCCCAGATTCTACCTTGCAGGATTCCTTAGTCCTCCTACAACTAGGGGATCTGCTCCCACACTCAGAGTCTCTACAGTGCCCTGGTTTTATCTGCGATGGCTCACCTTTATGGGTTGGAGGTTACAGCATTATAAAACCACACTGCAATTGAGACATAATTACTCATTCCTTGGAAATCATTTGGGAAAAAAAAAAACCTCATGACATCTGGTATCCTCTCATGCACAGAATGAGTCAGTAGACTGTAGCGTGAGGAACTGGTTTTCTCATAGAACTTGGTATCACCTGGCATTTCCTTTGCGGAGCAAAATGAAGGTAGATTCAAACCAAAAAGATGTCTTTGCACGCTAGGGAAAATGGCAGCCACTCTAACCAGTTCCAAGTTCACACTTACTAGCAGTAATACCCATTGGACTACGTCTACTTGAGAAGCTTCCAATAACTGTTTAACTTATTGGTATCTTTGTTTCTTGAACAATAAAATGGAGATAGTAAGAATGCTATCAGTACTGTGTTGTTGAGGTGGCAGGCAGCATATCAAATGCAATAAAAATTTAAAGAGTGGCTACTTTATTAGATTTAAGAGGCTCAACTAAATCACTAAGAATACAATGATCAAGGACTGGCGAGGTGGCTCGGGTTCAACTCATAGCACCTATACGAAGGCTCAAAACCATGCAGGTCCAGAGGATGCTTTGTCCTCTTCTGTCCTCTGTGGGTACCAGGCATGCATGCGGTGTATGTACACATGTGCAGGCAAAGGACTCACACACCTAAAATATCCTCTACTGCTTACGGATGGCTTCTATAACCACCATAGAGTCTACAGTCACAGGACCAAGAGCTGCTTAAGGACAGGGAACAGTCTGACACCATGCAACTCCCATCTTCACTGAACTTAGTTCAGCCATGGACATAGAAGGTCATCGACAGTCACGATGAGTTCAACATGGTAGTAGTGCCCAGGAGGGAATGCCCTGGAATACACTGGAAGCCAAAGAAGCCAATGCAAACACATTAGTGGCTTTCTAAATACTAAACCCCAGCACGCAGGAACAAGTAATTTTTAGGTTGCAACAGACGACCCTATCTCAGTCTGTATGCCTCTCTGGAGGTACTATATGAGCATCAGTATTTGCAATATTTATATTATAAATAAGAGTTTTGCAAAATAACACTTGTCTTACTATGTAATTATGCCCTGTTCTTTTCTATGGCAGTGGGGTTTAGTGTCTCTTATGTTGAACTTTACGTGTAGCCAAGCATGACCTTGAACTCCTGATCTTCTTCCCACCTCTACCTCCCAGTGTTGAGACTATATTGGCATAGGCCAGCATGCTCACCACCTTATGCACAGTCTGATTTCATAGGGATCTTGGTCAAACACAGATGAAGTTCATCAGAAGGCAGATAGGGCAGGAGTTTCTGTATTACCATCATGTTCCCGGGTAATCCTGAAGGTCCACAGGGGACACGATGAGGGGCAAAAATGTACATTTGTAGTAATCATTTCTAATGCTGGGAACGGCTTGTTAAAGTTATGTTCCAGGGCCAGTGAGATGGTCCAGGGGATAAAGGAGCTTGTTGCCCATCCTGACAACCTGAGTTCCATCCTGGGAACCACATGATGGGAGAAAGAACAGGCTCTGGCAAGCTGTCCTCTGAGAGCTGCCCTTGTGTCATGGTGGGTGCACGTTTCATGACCCACTAGAGGGTTGTATTATAGACTGAGGAAAACATCCTTCATTGTTTCTAACGTTTCTTTCATCTCTCTAATTCCACTGTTATATTCTTGGGACAGAAATTCTCGGCTTGGAAGGTAGGAGGATGAGGGGAAGGCGCTCACAGCCCAATATCCCCAATTCTATGGATTCGGGCAGAAACAAGCATAGGCTTCCTTGTCCCAAGGGGGAAAGTTCATTTCACCTCGCAGGGAAAGGAACTGAGTGGGTGACCAAGAGCAGGACCATTAAATGAGAGCACTATGTCTACCTGTGTTTATTTCTACTTTCCCCCGACGAGGTGGTCATCCTCACTTCCCAGATAAGAGAAAGCAATTGACTGAACCTGGCGGCATTCAGCAACTAGTGAGCCATTGTGGGAGCGAATCTTCCAGGCCTGTATCCCTGGCTAAAGGTGTAGCCACCGTTTCAGGTGGGAGCCCAGTGGGAACCACCCAGCTAAGTCTCACACCCCAATTCCTGACCCACAGAAACCATGAGGCACCATTTCGCATTCATAACATTTACAGCTGTGGGTCTAGATCATTACGTTTTGGTATGCTGTGTGTTATAACTTTAAATAACTTTAAAGTTATTTGCTATGCAGTAGCGATAATAAAATTCCTAACCAAAGGTTATACTGATTGCATCATTACAATTTATCCCAATAGGAAGAAAATGTTTACAAAGCCCTTTGGATCACCTCTTCACCGTGCAGCTTGTTATCAGCTCATTCTCCTGGCCCAAGCTCTACTTCCCTAAGGTCATGGGCAGTAGATCAGACAAACAAAATTGTTTATTCTTTTCATGAATTGTTTTAATGCTTGTTTTTGAGAGAGGGCTGTATATAGCTTGCTTTGCTATGTAGTCAAGAATGACCCTGAACTTCCTCTCTTCCTGCATTCACAATCAAAGTGACTGCATGCCTGTGAGGACCAGTTGTGTACAGAATTGTGAGGTGATACCATACCTAAGCAGAGATTTTGGAGCTCTATAAGCATCTGCCTTCCTGGGCTGGAGAGATGGATGGCTCAAGCATACGACAATTCGCAACTCCACCTGCACCCCCTCTTCTGGCCTATCTGGGCACCAGGCACCAATGTGGTGCAGACATACATGTAGGCAAAACATGCACAAACATAAGATTAAAAATAAAGACTTTGCCTTTCCTTGTTAGTGTCTGCAGAGACACCTGCATAACAACACATCCCTTTTACACTGATCTCAGTGAACAAGCAAGGGAAGAAACAGACTTGAACTTGACTCTCAACATAGAAGCAAGTCACACTGTCCAGAGGCACAGCTGACTTACGGACCCAGGGACGAGGAATGTGTGTGCCATTACAAACCACAGGTTAGGAGACCGTTTCTAACTGGGGACGGTGAGCACCGACCGAAACACTCACCATGTTGTATGATGCCGTGCTCCATGAGCCGGTGGCAAAGCTGCTCCCCCTCTTTCCTTGTCGTGGCCTCACCTTCCTGAACCAACCAGTCCAGGAATTCAGAGGCCATGAAGGTTCGCTCATACTTCACCCCTTCCTCTTCCCGCGGCTGTAGGAGGGTAGTTTCCGGGCTCATCAGTCTGGGAGGAAACACGAGGAGGAGAAAAGTAAAGCAAACATACACAGAAGGAGAATAGCTCATCTGCAAGGTGACATCATAGGCTTCCAGGAAGTATATCCTAGGCTTCCAGGAAGTGCCACAGAAGAGATGTCAGACAGACAGACAGACAGAAAGAATGAAGAGAAGTGTAGCATACTTTTTCTTTTGGGCCACCAACCCAAATCATGACATAGAGACTCTCCCTTCCTTCCTTCCTTCCTTCCTTCCTTCCTTCCTTCCTCCCTCCCTCCCTCCCTCCCTCCCTCCCTCCCTCCCTTCCTTCCTTCCTTCCTTTTTTCTTTTTTTGAGACAGAGTCTTACTATCCTTGGATTTGGTATGACCAGGGCAGGGTCGAACTTGCAGATGGATTCTGGGATTACAGTATGTGTCAATATGCCTCCCCCAAATTTCCTGATTCTTTCACATTCTACCGTCACATCCTTTATTTTATCGAGTTTATTTCAAAACAGATATGGCTGGAGCCAGAAAGCACCTTTTTATGCATCTATACAACACCAGCGAACATTAGAGGCTACTGACCAGTGCCTTCACCTAGAGCGATATTATACGCTACCATTGCCTCTTGTTCCTCCATGAACATATCTTTATGTTGCAGAACTCTTCTTAGGAAAATCAGAGTGCAACAATAACAACCAAAGACACCATTCACCCAAGTCTGACTTGGTGAACGTTGCGTTAACTGCGATTACTTATAGGGACAATATCTAATTCAAGTTATAAATGACGGAGGAGTCTAGGGGTAGATAATTATCCCCTGAGCATATGCTGTGCACATTGCTCTACTGCAAGAAAACATGCTAAGGGTGGAGATTGTTTACCTTGGTTGGAGCCCGTTCATGCAGCCTGGTTTGGCTATGGAGCCTCCACTGACACAGCAGGCAAGAGGCAGACCCTACTCCTGATTGGCTCTCTGCTGGGGAATACTGTTGGGATAATCTTTTTGCACACTGTGTAAAGAGTTATCTGTCCTTCCTCACCTGCCTAAGACACCTTCTGATTGGTTTAATAAAGAGCTGAATGGCCAATAGCTAGGGAGGAGAGAATAGGCAGGACTTCTGGGGAGAGATAGGAACTCTGGGAAAGAATCTGAGGCTTGCGAGATTTATCAGCCAGATGTGGAGGAAGTCTGATGTATGGTACTAAGGAGAGTTTACAAGCCATGTGGCAGAATATAGATTAACTTGCTAAAAGATCCTGGTTGAGATGTGTCTGTCTTGTCTAGCCAATGTATGGTAAGACGACCTATACATTTTATTTCCTAAAGCAATCTCATTTATGCCTAGGCCCTCCCATCTCAGCAATGCCGCCACTTTAGTCTAAAATGTCTACATTTTAAACCTCGTTAACTACAGCATGTTCTTAGATGAGTTATGCCATGCATCCACTCCTGTTAGGAAGGTAGTACCTGCTTCACTTCCTTTCCTGATTCATAGATTACCAATTTTGGTAGAAGAAAAAAAAAAGTACAAGAGCTCAGCATAGTGGTCGATGATGCCAGTGATTTTTTTTTTACTGAGATTTTTTAATTTTTATTTAAAAGTTTTGTCTTTTCATTTTACATACCAACCACTGTTGGGACCATTTGGAGTCCTCGCCTCCAGCTGCTCTTCCCTGCTAGCGATCTTTAGTTTCCTTCTGATTTGAGTTACTAAAAGCTGTGGCAAAGTTGTTTACCAGCTCTGCTGCACGAGCATGTGTTGCCTTGGCCTTGAGGATCAGAGGATGAGGTTTTCACCTGTTTGCCCACCTGACTGTGTTGGATATATAAGCCTCCGTGGTGCTATTGAATAAAGGGCTTCTTACCAGTAACTAGAGGTCCCTTCTCTCTGTGTCTCTCTGTGTGTATTTGTGTGTTTCAACCTCCAGCCCCTTGCTCGAAGCTTCCAAACTGTATAGAGCGCAGACAGGCGTTGTGTGCTGCAAACCACAGTTCTCCCTCCCTCCCTTCTTCCTCCCACGTTCCTCATCACCTCCCTCCCCAACTCCATCCCCATCCACTCCTCGGAAAAGGTAAGCCCTAGTATGGGGAGTCAACAAAGTCTGGCAAATCAAGTTGAGGAAGGACCAAGCCCCAAGCCCCAACCCCAGGTATCGAGGCTGAGCAAGGTATCCCTTCATAGGTAATAGGCTCCAAAAAGCCAGTTGATACACTGGGGATAAATCCTGGTCCCACTGTCATGGTCCTACAGACAGTCCGAGCAACACAATTGTCACCCACATTCAGAGGGCCTAATTTGGTCCTATGCAAGCTCCCCAGCTGTCAGTCCAGAGTCAGTGAGCTCCCACTTGCTCATGTCAGCTGTTTCTGGGTTTCCCCATCATTATCTTGACCCCTTTGCTCATAGAATCCCTCCTCCCTGTCTTTGATTGGACTTTGGGAGCTTAGCTGTGGCTCTCTGCATCTGCTTCCATCAGTTGTTTATTTCAGCGATTCTAACACTTGGGAGACAGGGCAAAGGATCACGAATTTCAGGCTAGCCTGGGCTACATACATAGTGAGATGCTGTCTCAGACAAAATCAAATCAAAACAATAATAAAAGCCCAAACAAGAACAAGAGAGAGAGAGAGATTGCAAGAGTTATTTATAAAAGTGATTAGCATATTATCAGACCTCATTATAAACCTTATTCGGCATATCACAGAATTCATGCAAAATCTGCTTGGCTACATCTTTCCCCGAAGTTGATCCTCTTTGCACTTTACCTTAGAAAGTACTACTCGAATGTTTTCCTGAGGTTAGCAGCAGCTGGGTTGGTATGAGCACTAAAGATTCCATTCAGTAGAACACTGGCCCATTCAACACAGACGCAGAATGATAGTGACATTCTCTAGGAGATGATGCATCATGAACAAATGACCGCGGTTCCCTGCATCTTCATGGAGAAGCTGAGTCTGTTCTAACATCTCCTGAACCTGTGGCTGGCCTCGTGACAACAGGGTGAAGCAAAGTGACCAGGAGGCCATTTTGGACCTGCGAGTACAACAGAAACCCTGTCTCTCTGACCAACCCGCAATCCCATGAAGGGAGCCCAAGAGAAACCAGCAGAGGGGCCCTCATGTGACCCATAGATCTAGGAGAAACAGCACAGCACAGCTGTTTGAACTACTACATTTTAGTATTTTTCCAATGACCTACCAATGACACCTACTGATATTAATGGAGAATGGGAAAAAAAAATGCATGAAAAAAAACGCATGACGCACCGCAGATCACTGAACACTGAGAAAAAGAGGAAGTAGCACTGCCAAGACGTAGAAACAAAATTACACAGAAGAAAGCGCGGCAATGCCAGTGCTGAGAGCCTGCGCTGGTGATGAGACTCCCGCGGGGAGAGCAGAAGGACGCACGAACAGGACAAACGGGCACCGCCACTTCTGTTGATGCGCGCGGTATGTTGAACGAAAACAGAAGAAACAACTAGTCTCCTACATTTTCCCATTTTAGGTATCATTTCCTGTGAGAACTCTCGGGGCCCTATAAATCTGGACACTGTGCCTCTTCTAGAACCACCCAGGAACCATCTGCTGAGTCGACTTTGAACATTTGGAGGTCACGGACCCTACTTGACATGTTTACAGGTGTTTCCTTATGTTAAAATGTTTACAAAAAAAAAAAATAAATCGCTGAATGAATAAATTAAGCTCACTTGCATGTGTTTCTTGCTACATAGCAGCCAAGTACGTCCTAAAAAGGCCATCCTCACAAAGCCAGGTGTGGTGGCACATGCCTTTATTCATGACCAGCCTGGGTTTGATTCCACCTTAAAATTTTGTCTTTAGATATGTAAGTAAAACCCTCTCCACAGGTTGGTGAAATGACTGACTTGGTAAAGGCACTTCCCCTCCTGGCCTGATGCCCTGAGTTCTGTCCCTAGGACTCACACGGTGGAAGGACTGAACCTACCTGCTGAGACTGGTCCTCTGAACATCATGTGTGCCACGGCACGCCCACTCCCACACACGTGCACATGCACACGCAAACTAGATGAACGAATACATAATGTAATTAAACTGACTTTTAAAAAAATTCTCTCTTATTTCTGGCGCAGGCTCTTAACCTTTATCTCCACTTCAGCTTCTTCCTGCACGGCTGCTTTCCTCTGAGGGCGTCACAAGGCCAAGTGCACAGGGTTATTACTTCACGCTGCTTCTTGGAACCAGAAACATGACCTGCTCCGTCCTTTAGAACTCCTGCTAAGTAGCTGGCGGCCTCTGGACAAGTGGCTGGCTAGCTTAGCTGCTCCTGCCAAGGATCAGGAAAGGGGCCAGCTGGCAGGCTCATCTCCTGCCATTTAAAACTCCAGTGTCCTCAGCTCCTCTCTACTCATTTCCCCTAACAATCCAGGAGCATTCCCGTCCTGCTTCCTCCTTTTAAGCCCAAGTCTTTCTTGGGACTGGAGTTTAGTATTTATATGCAGTTTTCATGCTAAAGCATGAATCTAACCGACTATTTGATCTGATTTGTAGTGATCTATTTCATTTGTATTTTAATAAATAAAGCCTGCCTGAAGATCAGAGAGTGAAATGGCCACACCGATCAGCCACACAGACCAGTGGTGGCACACACCTTTAACCCCAGTAGCCATACTAGTTCGCCACAGAAGCTGGGTAGTAGTGGTGCATGCCTTTAATCCCAGCACTAGAGAGGAATTTAAGGTAGGAGACAGCTCTCAGTTCAGTCAAGAAGTCTCATTCTGAGGATTTGAGGAGGTAGGTTCACCATTTTGGTCTGAGGTAGAGGTAAGAGCCAGTGGCTGGCTGCTTTGCTTTTCTGATCTTCAGGTTGAACCCTAATATCTGTCTCTGGATTTTTATTATTCATGCTACACTGATTGTGTTCTGGCATACAAAAAAAAAAAAAACTGACTCAGTAGTTAAGGGCACTAACTGCTTGCTCTTCCACAGGACCCAGGTTCAATTCCCAGCACTTACATGACAGTTTATGAGCATCTATATC